TAATTAAACTTTATGATGTATTAATATTTAATAAAATACAGTATGTGGCTTTGTTAAATAAACACTATGGCTTTTATTTAATGAGAATCTGGGCTTTTTTTATGAACTTTATGGCTTTTATTTAATAAGGATCTAGGCTTTTTTAATAAATTTTAAGACTTTTATCTAATAAAAATCCAGACTTTTTTAATAAACTCTGGGCTTTTTTAAATAAACTTTATGGCTTTTATTTAATAAGAATCTGGGCTTTTTTAATAAACTTTAAGGAGAAGAATAGTAAATAATTAATTTTTTTATTTTGTATTTTTTTTTTCAAATACTCTAACAATTTAGCAAAATTTTTTATTTTTTAAAATTTTTTTTTATCTTCATATTTGAATTGAAAAAGGTGTATTTTTTACATTTTTAAAGTTAATAAAATAAAGAACATTTAAATATATTTTACATTTAAAAAAAACTATTTTACAGTTCTTTTCTAATTAGTCAGAACTGTTTTCGCGCAATAACTCGCTATCCAGTGATCATAAAAATATGATTAATGGATCATTAGAATCCACTCATAGAGAGCTTTCAAATGGTACCAAAATAACCTTTCTAGCATCAATAGATGGCGAGTTATTCATGTAAATATTTTAAAAATTATCTCATCATCTTAAGGTTGCTTGCCGAAATCAAGTAGTTTAGGCCAAGGCCGAAACTTTTTTAAAACCGAAAGTTTAGGCAATTAAAAGTAAATTTGCCGAAATTATACAATGCCGAAACTTTTACCGAAAGGCCGAAATTTGGCCGAAATTATTGGCCAACATTAATACTATAATTCTGGCCGGAATAATGATCGACGTGTAAATTTCCTTTTATGGAAATTTGTGTAACATTTGTGTGACACATTTCTCCGATTTTACTGGGAAACAAAATTTCCTTTTTTGGAAATTTGTGTAACGTCACGTGACACAATATTATAATTTCGGCCGAATTTTAATTTTGGCCAAAATTAAGACCGAGTTTCGGCCTAATTTCGGCATTTTCGGCATTTGATTTGATTGGCCGAAACCTTTCGGAATTTCCTTTTTAGTTTCGGCAGGCAACCTTACATCATCTATCGAAGCTAGAAAGCTCATTTTAGTACCATTCGAAAGCTCTCGATGTGACGATTCCAATGAGCCATTAATCGTCTTTCTACGATTACTGGATGGTGATATATTGCGTGAATATAGTAAATATATATGAAACCTCATCCGGATTCTGGTTCAAACCGGATATTTTCCATCCGGATCAAAATCCGGGTCAAAATCTGGATATCCGGATAAAAAAAAATCCGGATTCATCCGGATTCATCCGGATGAGACAGAAACGGATCAAAGCACTAGTTCCAACTTTCTTCGTTTTATTTTGACAAATCTTTCATATCTTCTTTGAATGTTTTTTTTTCGCACTTGATTTCTTCATTTTCATTCCATAATTTTTATTGTTTTTATAATATATATATATCACTATCTTCAATTTTTATTTTCTTTTTAACTTCCTGTTTACTTTCTTCGGTCTCAACAATTTCACTAAACTCCTTTTTAACTTTAATTTCTGTTTTATTAACTTCAAATTTATTCTCTACAAATTCACTATTCTCTTTTAACTTTAATTTTTTCTCTTTGAGTTTAATAATTTCAAATTCATCATCAAGAATATTTCTTGCATGTGGCCAAAATGCTGGTCTAATGAATATGTAAGACAGCTACTGGAACTGTTAAAGACTTTAAAGTACTTCTGTACATACAATTTAAATAACAACTACTACTTCGTTGCACCTGAGTACCTATATAAAAACCTAAACTCAACACAACCATCCAAGAGTGTTTCGCTGGGATGCGACAGGCTCTTATCATCTCACGTGACTTTGTTCGAAATATTGGCAAAATTTTTTACCAGTTAAATATTTATCATAACTCCTCACATGACATAACTATCCACATGACCAAAATATCTAACGTAACCATGAATATCATCGATAAAATTTTTCTGAAGAAAATTTTTTTTAAAGGTCCATTAATTTAATTTTTATTATTTTTATTTATTTTTATTTATTACTATGAGTGATTAGTGATAATTAATATTTAAATTTTACGAACAAATTTAATTTTAAATGCTTTATGAATTTACATTATATAATTTTAAAAAATTATGGTAATAATGTAAAAGTTTATTCTGTATAAATAAGTATAATCACCAGTCTGATCATTTTCGACAAAAAAAAGTGATATTCAAATTATTTTAAGTATATATTACGTATTGAGAAGTATTAAGAAATTTTTCTTTGTTTTAAGATTTTTGCTGTGCAACAATGAGGCTTGATGATTGACATACATTTCAGTATATGTGCAAAATTTGTTTGTTATATATACAATTCTTGTACTTCTGATGTGCATAATGCATTTTGCATAAATGTTATTACCATATACCTGTACTAATAAAGGCGTTTAATAATAAAAAGATATTTACATTATCTTTTCTAGTCAGAAAGAATTTTAATATAATTATATAGTAATGGCTCTTAATAATGATAAAGGTAATGATCATATATAATATAAACATTTAATACAATTGGAATTCTAATATTTTTAAACAAATTTACAATATAATAAAACTAGTTTCTGAATTTGAAGGAAGCAGTATTAAAGAACTCGAAGGAAAAGGTATATTAAACATGCTAAAATATTGAATTTTTATTTGTAAATACATATCTATAATAATACCTTATATAATATACAAATATAGCTTGTAAGTTAATAGGTCATCTTATAATTGAATAATGATGGAATTACTTATCATTTTTATTACATTTCATGTAATTAATTAATTCATTAATGATTAACAATACTATAGTCAGTAAGTTATTAGTTATATTCTTTACTTTGTTTACTACTTTACATAATATTCAAATAACTAAATTCTTTATTTAATTAACTACTTAATAATTAACTTGTATTACAGATGGTAAGTCACAATATTATATTTATTTGCTTAATATTTTATATGGCTTAACTAATTATTCTTAATTTAAACAACTAGATTGTAAGTGATATATTTAATTTACAATAAACACTTTTATATTATATTTATATTTATATTTAACTAATAATTAATTAATAATACTAGGGTGTAAGTTATAGATATCTATATTTCTATTATTTATATAATTTATACTAACTAAATTCTTTATTTAAAAATTATTTTGTAATTTATTTTAGTTGGTAAGTTATAAATTCTCATTGCTATAATATTTAGTACATATAATTTAAACTAATTAAATTCTTTATTTAAAAAATTATTTTGTAATTTCTTTTAGTTGGTAAGTTATAAGTTATTACCTACTGTTATAATATTTACATATAATTTAAACTGACTAAATTCTTTATTTAATAGATCGTAAGTTATAAGCTATTTATTTAATTCTATTATTACCTATTGTTATAATATTTACATATAATTTAAACCTAACTAAATTCTTTATTTAAAAAATTATTTAATAATATAGGGTGTAAGTTATTTATTTAATTCTATTATTACTTATTTATATGATATTTACATATAATTTAAACTAACTAAATTCTTTATTTAAAAAATTATTTAATAATATAGGGTGTAAGTTATTTATTTAATTCTATTATTACTTATTGTTATAATATTTGCATATAATTTAAATTAGCTAAATCTTTGTTTAAAAATTATTTAATAATATAGGGGGTAAGTTATTTATTTAATTCTACTTACTGTTATAATATTTACATATAATTTAAATTAACTAAATTCTTTATTTAAATAGGATGTAAGTTATAAGTTATTTAATTCTATTATTACTTATTTATACAGTATAATATTTACATATAATTAAACTAACTAAATTCTTTTGTTTAAAATTATTTAATAATATAGGGGGTAAGTTATTAATTTAATTCTATTATTACTTATTTATATAATATTTATATATAATTTAACCTAACTAAATTCTTTATTTAAAAAAGTATTTAATAATGACAATGGAGAGAGTAAGTTATTTATTTAATTCTATTATTACTTATTGTTATAATATATACATATAATATTACTAACTAAATTCTTTATTTAAATAGATTGTAAGTTATAAGTTATTTATTTAATTCTATTATTATTTATTGTTATAATATTTACATATAATTTAAACTAACTAAATTTTTTACTTATAAAAATTATTTACTAATAATATAGCTTGTAAGTTATTTGTTGTTTCTATTATTATGTATTTATAAATATTTATTTGTTAATTGAATTCTTTATACAAAATTTCTGTTACTTTAGTTGGTAAGTTGTAAAATATGGGTTATATATTATTATATATTTATACAAAAGCTAAGATATATATTGTATTAAACTTCTATTTAAATTTTAGAGTAAGTGTTGGTTTTAATTTTAAATTTTAGTGTAATTTTTAATAAGCTTCAATAATAATTTTATTTATTTATATAGATTTGGAAAAAGTGGAAATACAATTATGGATAATTTTATTTTGAAAAAAAAATTAAAATGGATTCCTTATAATAAATTTAAAAATGTTAAATATCTTGATAAAGGAGGATTTGGTACTGTATACAGAGCTATTTGGTTTTGTTATAATAAATATTATGATGTGATTCTTAAATGTCATAATAATTTAAGTGAAAATTTAAATGAATTTTTAAATGAAGTATGTTAATATGTTATTTATTTTTTTAATTTAAATTATAATTTATTTATACTAATATATTGTTACTTTTTTATAGTGGGAATATCATGGAAGTTATTTAAATTCATATGATATTATTTATTTTTTTGGGTTTACAAAAGATCCAGATACTTTGGAATATATGGTAGTAATGGATTATGCAAACAAAGGTAATTTAAGAGGAAACTTAACAAGAATAAACAAAAGTGGTTGGTGTCAAAAATTATATATGTTATTTGGAATTATCTCTGGACTTGATGATATACATATACAAAATCTTATTCATTGTGATTTTCATGATGGCAATATTTTAAATCATAATGAAAGTAAAATTTATATTAGTGATTTAGGATTATGTAAACCTGTTAAATCGTCTTTGAAAAAAGATGGTATTTATGGTGTTATGCCATTTATGGCACCAGAAGTTTTAAGAGGCAATTCTTATACTCCAGCTAGCGATATATATAGTTTTTCTATGATTATGTGGGAATTTACATCTGGGATACCACCATTTAACAATAGAGCACATGATATTCAACTTAGTTTAAGTATTTGTGAAGGTGAACGTCCTGGAATTATTGAAAATACTCCACAATGTTATATAGATTTGATGAAAATGTGCTGGGATGGAAGCCCTTTAAAAAGGCCATCTTCCAAAGAAGTGTTAAATATTATTAAGGAATGGGTTTCTCTTCCAGATAATGTGAAAGTTGAAGATATTAATGAAGAATTAAAATGCAATATTATGGAATTTATAAATGCACCAATTGGACATAACAATAATCTTGCTATGGAATTTCATCCACAAGCATATTATACAAGTCGCCTATTTGATTTTACTAGTAAACAGTTGAATGAAAATCTTGAAAGTGAAGATTTGAATGATGTTATAATTAAAGATATGAAGTCATTAGGTTTGTAATTAATACAAAAAAAGTAATTTTGCAAATTATTTATGTAAATTTAATTTTTAATTATTTAATTATTTAGAGATTAATAAGACAGAAGAAAATTAGATGATTATTTAAGTTTTATCAAAATTTTGATATTATGCATTCAGAAAATTGTTTGTTATTTCATTTTTTTTAGATTTATTTAAACACTAAGGCTAGAGTAGTAAAATATTTACAAGTTTCTTAGTTTGTAATTTAAATAATTCCTTTCTATCATAGTTTATCCCAATATTAAATATACTGTATGTATTCTCTTTTTTATTTATTTAGAATTATCTAAACACTAAGACTAGAATACTAGTAAAGATACTTAGTTTGTAATTTAAATAAATCTTATTTTTCAATTACTGAATATATATTAATAAAAAATGTAAATATATAAAACCATTTCCAATATGCGAAATCAAATAAGTAATTCAAACTTTTTATATATATTCTTAAAAGCTGATGAAACTAAAGTAATTAGAATTTTACTAAGCTCAAAAATCCAAATAATGACAAATTGCTAATTAAATATTTAAGGCCAAATAAATAAATTTGTTAGTTTCTCATCATCATGTGAATGTCATGAAAGAAAAAAAAATTTTGTTTTATTTGGTCAGATAATGCCGCTTTTGTCTAATCATAGTCAGAAAAATAAAATTTTCTTACCACCCACAGAAAATTCATTAAAATTAATCAGAGATTTGATAATTTTTTTCCTGGGCAGGGTCAGTTTTTGATATTTTTTTTTCATGAGAAACTAATAATTTATTTTGCTTGGACTTAAACCTATATATGAGTTAATTTTGTTATAACAAACCTTAACTGATATATCATAAATTTATTTTTATTTTGATGTCAATGATGTGACATAGTCTTTCAAAATATATATAGTTCACTTCATTTCACCAAAGAACTTTTTTTTAGAATTTATTTGAGTGAAGTATACAGTCAACCCCCTTTATAGTCACACCCCTTGGGACTGAAAAAAAAGGGTGTGATTATAAAAAAAGTCATATGTTGTGACTATAGAAGAGGTTTTTCTAATATATTTATTGGTACATTGGGCCAAAATATGGTGTGCTTATAAAAGGGAATTTTATATGATGTGATTATACAGGGGGTGACTATATAGGGGGTCGACTGTATATGGAATGCATAAGACACACTCGACAATGATCATGGAGCAGAACTTATTATATTAAATGACAGTAGAAATTCTCTCCTCAAAATGATCAGGGCTTCATGAGATGCTTCACATATTCGTATTGAAGAACAATCTCAAGTTCACCATGTTTATTGAGATGCCATCAAAACCATTTTCAGATTAGTCATTCCCAAAAGTGTGTCAGCTTTATGGACTTGGCGAGTCAGATGATCTCTTGTTATTAGTGTTCTCACCTTTCACTTGCAAGTATAAAGAACTGAAAGAGGATTCTTTCAAGACAATATTTAAACATCTTACTGCAGAACTAAATGTCTGTCTCAAAGCTATTTCAATTAGTGGAAATGAAGCATCAAAATTGCAATATGTTTGTTCATACCTTGTTTTCAGAATAAATCTATACAAGGAAAAGTTTGAGTTTCGACCAGAAAAAAACATCACAGGACCAATGGACATGGACCAGTTGATTTTGTAATATATTTACTCCAAACTGCGAAAACTGTTAGTGTGACAGAAGTAAAGGGCGAAGATATTTTCAAGAGCATTGCTCAGAATTCGAATCACAAACATAAGGCAAACGAGATGGAGGAGAAAAGTGTATTTATGGGTAAGACTTTTGGGATCATCACAGATGTAAAAGAATGGTATTTTATGGAATGTTCACTCAATGATCAGGACTAGAGAACGGAATCGATTATAGTAAAATCAAATTAATCGAAAATCGAATCTAAATTGATTAATCAAAAATCGAATTAAAAAATTAAATCTTTTATTGTGGCGCAGTAATTCGATTTTTTTTTAACATTTAATATTTTATTGAAATAGTTTTTAATTAATTAATTTATTTTTTATTATTTTAATTTATTTTCATTTAATTATTGTATAGTAAAATTACTTTAATTTTGTATATTAATTAAACATAAAATAAATATATTTTTCTAGCAATTTTTTGCAAATAATTTTAAGTCTGTAATCAGCATGATCAGCACATCACGTATTTATTGAACCATTATATTTACTTTGCCTATGACATCTGTTTGTATTACAAAATTTAATAAATAAAAAAATTCACACGGTAAAACTTTATCTTTTTTACTTAAAATTATGGCAACCACTACACGAAGTAAATACAAGCAATTAGCTAAAGAAAAAGAAGCAGAAGAGGAGAATTTGGCACAAGAAATAACAGAAGAAAATGAGAATGATTCTAATTATGAATATGAAACAGATAATTTGTCAGAAAAAAGTTGTGTAACAGTGCAAGAAATCAGCATCTCTGATATATCAGATGTTATAATTATTGATGACGATATAGAAACAAATAAAAAATCTTTATCAAAAAAAGAAAAAAAACCTCCAACTAAAACTACAAAACTTAAAACAAGTTGGGTTTGGAGATTTTTTAAATTTAATGAAAATAATACAAAAGTTATTTGTCAAATTGGAGAGTGTGGAAAAACTCTTGCATGGTGTGGTTCACCAAGTTCTATGAAAACACATTTATCAGATGCACACCAGATTACTAAAGCCATTGCAATAAAATATCAAGAAGATGAGCTAATAAATCCTTAACAAACCAATAATGTTAGACCACATTGTTCTTCTAAATAAGAATCTTTAACAAAAAATGTTGTAGGATTTGTTGTTGGTACAGTACAACCATTAAGTATTGTTGAAGATCCAGATTTTGTGAACATTATAAATGGGTTTGATGAGCATTATAAAGTCCCTTGCTTTAAAATTCTTAAAGATCGGATCTCAACAGTATATGAAACAGAAAAAGATTCTCTTAAAAATCAACTTTCACAAATATAACATGTTTCTTTAACGCTAGATGCCTGGAGTTCATCAGCACATTTACCTTATTTAGATGTTACAGCTTATTGGTTAACATCAAAATTTGAACCACGTGAAATACTTCTTAGCATGGCTGAACTGCCATATCCACATGGTGCAATTGAAATACAAGAACACTTAATTGATTTATTTAATGAATGGGAAATTGATACAAAAATAAATGCATTAGTGACTGATAATGCATCTAATATCAAAAAAGCATGTGATAATTTAGGAATTGAAAGAATTCCATGTGCCGCCCATACACTTCAGCTTAACATTGGAAAGGGATTAGATACAATGAAAGAATTAATTAACAAATGTAAATGTCTTATTGCATTCTTAGCAAAAGATAAAAAAAAGCAACAATTAAAAGAATCACAAGTTTATTTATACAGACAACAAGCAATGCAATTAAATACACAAGAAGCTGAAGAATTGAAAAAACAAATTGAAGATCATGTTGTTGTTGATGTAGCGAAAGCTAATAATACATGTTGGAATTCTACATTATATGCTTTTCAAAGACTTATTATTCTTAAACCAGCCATATTAATGTTAAAGGCATCTTTAATAAATGATACAAATTCATATATTCATAAGGAGGATGAAAAATTAGAAGAATTGGATCCAACAGCTTATGAATGAAAAATAATCAAAAAAGAAGTAGAACTTTTAAGTTCTTTTGAAAATGCAACATGTTTTTTAAGTGATGTGAAATACCCAACTATTGGGTTTACATATCCATGCATATATAACTTAAGAGAAAGACTTGAAAATGATTTTGTTTTATTGGAGACTGTAGATAATTGTCAAAATGTAATTTTGGAAGATTTAATATTAAGGTGGGAATTTCCTCAAGAATTATGTTTAAAAGGATCATTTTTTGATATTCATTTCAAAAGTTTAGATTTTATTAATTCTCAAGAAAAGTGTAATAGTATTATTAATCAATTAAAAACAGAATTTGAAATCTTTAAACATAACAGTTCATCTGCTGTTATATTTGATAGAAATATTGATGAATTAACAACAGCAATGGGAAATTTTTGGAAAAAAAAGAATGCTAAAATTACAGTTCCAATTAAAGATGAATTTTAACATTATCTTAATGTATCAGAATTGCCTGCTCTTGAAGAATATGATCCCTTTGTATAGTAGCTAACAAACAAGAACCAATATCCAATGCTTCATAAGTTAGCAATGAAATACCTTTCTATACCTGCTACATCAGTTCCATCAGAACAGCTTTTTTCTTATGCTAAAAATTTAATCACTTCTCAAAGAACTCATTTAGATTAGAGATGGCAACAGTTGGTCACAGTCGGTTATCAGTTGGTCATAACCAGTTATAGGTTTTTGACCGACTGACCATTTTGGCTGACTGTTTTTCTGACCATTTTTCTGACCATTTGACCGACCGTTTGACTGACCATTTAACCAACCATTTAACTGACTATTTAACCATTTTTTTTAGTGAATTTAATTAAGAAAAAATGTTAAAAAGTTTTTTTTTGATTAAATCCGCTAACAAAAACATTATACAACTTTTTTACTGATTAAGTTCATAAAAAAAGTGTTAAATGAATAGAGTTGGTTAAATGGTCAGTTAACAATCGGTTAAACAGTCAGTTAAACAGTCAGTCAAACGGTCGGTCAAAAATGGTCAGTTAAACGATTGGTCAAAGCCTTTGACTGACCAATATTGGTCACAGTTATTAACCAGTCATAACCGGACCGTAACTATTGCCATCCCTAGTTTAGATTCATTTGTTATTAATCAGCTTATATTCTTAAAAAGAAATAGAGAATATATGGATTAGTGCTTCAACCTGGATGAAAACTATCATCCAGATTACACAAAAAAAAATTTGGATTATATCCAAGTTGATCTGGATTTTAAATTCGGATCAGATAATCCGGATAGAAACTGGAAACTGGATTGAATTTTTTTTAATTGCAAGCTACAGAGATGCACAATAGCTCATTAGAATCATCTTATTAAGACAGATTAGGGATGGCAATGGTTACGGTCATAACTGGTCATGACCGGTTAATAACTGTGACCGATATCAGTCGGCCAAAGGTTCTGACCAACTGTTTAACTGACCAGTTTTGACCGACCATTTGACCGACCATTTAACCGACCATTTAACCGATCGTTAACCGACCATTTAATTAACCCTATTCATTTAACACTTTTTTTATGAGCTGAATCAATAAAAAAAGTTGTATAATGTTTTTGTTAGTGGATTTAATCAAAAAAAAACTTTTTAACGTTTTTTCTTAATTAAATTCACTAAAAAAATGGTTAAACAGTCAGTTAAACAGTCAGAAAAATGGTCAGCAAAAATGGTCGGTCGGTCAAAGATCTATAACCGGTTATGACTGACTGATAACCGACCGTGACCGACCGTTGCCATCCCTAAGACAGATCGAATGGCACTAATTTCATCCTTATACAATCACTGGATGCCGAGATATTCAACAAAACATCAAAAATCAGCATTTTATATATTGTAAGTTATGATACTGCACCATTTTATGTTTTGTTAAATATCTCGACAACCAGTAATCGTATAGAGATGCACAATAGCTCATTCAAATTGTTGCATCAAGATGAATCTAATGAGCTTTAGAGTATCTTTCTATGACTACAGAATGTCAAGATACTCGATAAATGTCAAAATCTGCATTTTTCATTTTGCAATAATGCGCCATTTTACAGTTTTCGAATATCTCAGTATTGAGTGATCGTAGAAAGATGAATTTAGTACCATTCGATTTGTTTCAACAAGACGATTCTAATGAGCTATTATGCATCTCTGTACAATCACTAGATGCTGAGATATTTAAAAAATGTAAATGGCACATTATTACAAAAATGAAAAGTGCCGATGTTTGATGTTTTGTTGAATATCTCGACATCCAGTGGTCATAGAAAGATGATCTCATTGGATTCGCCTTGATGCAATGATTTGAATGAGGTATTGTGCATCTTTATATGATCACTGGTTGCTGAAATATTCGGTAAAATGTGAAATGACATAGTATCACAAAATAAAAATGCTGATTTTGACATTTGGTTGAATATCTCGGCATCCAGTGATTATATAAGGATGAAATTAGTGCCATTTGATCTGTCTCAATAAGATGATTCAAATGAGCTTTTATACATCTCTCTAATCCGCATTTTAAAAAAATCCAATCCGGATTCTGGTTTCTATCCAGGTTATGAGATACAGATTTACAGTCCAGATTAAAGTTGCTTGCCAAAAATAAAAAGGCCATTATCAAAATGGTAAAAATAATTTCGACATTTCGACATGACAAAATGACGAAATTATTTTATTATTAAAATTGACTAAAATGCAAATGACGAAATGGAAAAATAATTTCAACAATTTCAACATGACGAAATTCACTAATTTCAACAAGCAATTTTAGTCCAGATCAATTCAGATGTAATCCAGATATCCAAAAAAAAAATCCAGTTCAATCTGAATTGATCTGAATACGGGTCAAAGCACTAATGTGGATATTTATAGGGTAGAAACTAAGGATGGTCATCGGTCCTAGAAGACCGCGGTCCTACGGTCCTACACCATAAAAAGACGGACCGGTCCGTCTTAGTGTAGGACCGCGGTCTTTCGGTCCTGTATCACATATAATAAGACCGTCGGTCTTTTTAAGGACCGCAGTCTTTTTAAGACCGATCGGTCTTTTTCTTTTTTTTGCAAATAAAAAAAGATTTTCTTCCTTAACTTTATTAGGAATAGCCTTGTTTTATAAATGAACACTAATTGGGATGATTTTTAATATAAATTTTTTTTTTTACAAATCACCTGGATTTATGATCATCACATACGTCATGCACTTACTATTATTGTATTAGTGACAATCATATGATCATTTTCGTTTAATCAAACACTAACCTTTTAGCTAAATATGAGTTAAGCATGATAAAACTAGTTGTATTTATGCAAAAATGCATCACAGTGTTCAAACTTGCACAGTAGTTAAAAAATTTTCCCATCGCAATTTTTTTTTTTTATTAAATTTTTTTTTTTTCTTTTTTGAATTATGGCTGAAGAGCAAGAACAAGAGGATAATTACAACTCTTTTCCATATGAATCCTTTATAGAGGATCAAATTTTTATTGATTATGAGGATGAGGAATATGAAGAAAGAGATAGTGAAATAACAACAGAAATGGCTGAAAGAGGAACTGAAATTACTGAAACTGAAACTGAAACTTCTAGTATTAGATCTAAAGAATTAAGACAAGCTCGAGTTTGGAAACATTTTGAAAAAAAGACAATTGAAAAAGATGATGAACAAACTGAAACTTATATTTTATGTCATATTTGTGAAGGCCATTTCTCTGCAAACAATTCTACTACAACTCTTGAACGTCATTTAAAAGCTAAACATTTTGATGTATATAAAGACTTAGGTCAAGTTGAATCTAATGCAAAACCCTGGACAGTTGATATACAACAAGAAAAGCATAATCTTTTTGTTAATTGGATTATCACAGACCAGCAACCATTTACCATTGTTGAAAATCAAAGTTTTAAAAAATTTATAGCATCTATTCAACCAAAATACAAAATTCCATCTCGACACATAATAAAAGATATGATAATGAAAAAGTTTGAAAATGCACAAATTCAAATAAAAAACTACCTTCAACTTTCAACTTCCAAAATTTCGTTAACAATGGATATGTGGACAACAATTAGTTCATTAGGTATTTTGGCAGTAACAATTCATTTTATAAAAGATGATTGGCAGTTTGATCACTTTGTATTAGATGTATTGTATATTCCTTCACCACACACAGCTTTAGCAATTAAAGATTCTATTATTAAAATTGTTTCAGAATTAAATATTGCAGATCGATTAATTGGAATTACTAGTGACAATGAAGCAAAGATGTTAGCTGCGACTCGACTGATTAAAGAAGATCTTAATTTATCAGAATTTTGCCACTATCGCTGTGCAGCACATATTTTAAACCTTGCTGTTGAAGCAGCACTTAATACAAGTATAGTTCCTAATTGTGTCAAAAAGTTGCGTATATTTATTAGTACAGTAAGAAATTCACCTAAACAAATGGATAAGTTAAAGGAGTTTTTTCAAGTTGAAAAAATTAAATTTAAAGTACCACTTCCAGATTGTACTACAAGATGGAACTATACATTCTACATGATAGATCGAGCATTAGAAATTAAACCTCTTTTGGCTCATTTAGTATCAAATCTTACATCATTATCAAATAATTGGCCAAATGAAGAAGAATGGAATATACTTACTATTTTAGCAGACTTATTAGCTCCTTTTGCATCAGTAACAAGAGTGATATCTGCTTCTAGTTATCCAACTATTGGTGAAGTTAAATTACTTTTTGAAGGTATTAGAATGCATTTAAATCAATCTCGAGGTGAAAATTTTATTTTACAAGACCAAGTAGATGAAATGAACCGTGTTTTTACAAATTATTTTGATGAAATAAGTGAGGCATTACATGTTCCAGCCTTTTTTGATCCCCGTTATAAAAAATTAGCATATGGTGATATGTCTCAAAATAATATTTTTGAACCAATTCGTAGAGCAATGGCCAATTATAGAGAATCTGATGATAC